CTTCTAAGCACCTGGGTCTGTCTTCTTCTTCCTCAGTGCCACTATGTTGATCACCCGCATTTGATACATTGCCCTTCCCTTCACCCAAATCAATACTTGTCTCTATCTATCTAGCAGTGTTTCCTCCCCTCCCATCCTACCCTTGGTAATGACAAAGAAAATATCCTTCCATATATAAACCTTTCCTTGACTTTTTATAATAACAGACTGTTACAATATTTGTCCTTCTGTGATTGACTTATTTCACTTGGCATAATGTCCTCCATGTCCATCTATGTTATGTGGTGTTTTACAGATTTTATGTTATTCTTTAGAGTTGCATAGTATTCCATTGTGTGCATACTCCATAGTTTGGTTATCCATTGATGGGCATCTAGGTGGTTTCCATATTTTTTGCTACTGTAAATAATGCTGTGATGAACATGGCTGTGTATGTATCTGTCCCTCTTTGGGCTCTCACTTCTTTAGGATATACACGAATTGCTGGGTCAAATGGTATTTCTAATTCCAACTTTTTAAGGAATAGCCATACTGCTTTCCACAGTGGTTGTATCATTTGACAGTCCCACAATCAGTGTATTAGAGTCTCAATCTCTCCACATCCTCACAAGCATTTGTTATTTTCTGTCTTGAACTTTGCTGCTAGTGCTGGGGCAAGATGGTATCTCATTGCTGTTTTGATTTGCATCCCTTTAATGGCTAATGAGGAGCTCTGGTAGCATAGTGCCTAAGGCACTTGACTGCTAACCAGAAGGCTGATGGTTCAAACCCACCAGCCACTCCTCGGAAGGAAGATGGGGCAATCTACTTCCGTAGTGATACTGCCTCGAAAACCCAAGGAGGAGTCGCTATGAGTCAGGTCCAACTCGATGGCACATAAACAACAACGACTAATGATTGTGAACATTTCTTCAGGTGTTTCTTGGCCACCCAAATATCTTTGGTGAAGTGTCTGTTTATGTTTTTTGCCCATTTTTTAAAATTAGATTACTTGTCTTTTTGTTGTTGAGTTGTTGGAGTTTTCTATAAATTCTAGAGGTAAGTCACTTGTCAGATATGCCATTGCAGAATATTTTTTCTCAATCTGTAGGTTCTATTTTTACTGTTTTGGAGAAGTATTTGGAAGCACATAAAAATTTAATTTTTAGAAGGTCCCATTCATCTAGTTTATCCTCTGTTGTTTGTGCATTTTGGGTTATGGTTGACAATCTATTTTGCCAAATAGTGGGACCCCTAAATTTCCCCTAGGTTTTCCTTGAGGAACTTCTTAGTTTTAGTTTCCACATTTAAGTCTTTGATCCATCTGGATGGTGTGGGGTACATATTGTGTTTCATTTTTCTGCAAATATCCAGTTTTTCCAGCAAAGGACCATCTCTTTCCCATTTAATGGATTTTAGCTCTTTGTCAAAGAGCAGCTGACCATAGGTTGATGGATCTATTTCTTGGTTCTCAATTCTGTTCCACTGGTCTATGTGTCTATCATTGTACCAATACCAGGCTGTTTGATTACTGTGGCTGTATGTGGTTTTGAGATCTAGGAGTATGAGACTTCATACTGTATTCTTTCTCAATAGTGCTTTGCTTATCTGAGGTCTCATTCCTTTCCATATAAAGTTAGTGATTGTTTTTTTCATATCCTTCAAGAATGTTGATGAGATCTAGATTGGGATTGCGTTGAATGTATAGATTGCTTTGGGTAGAATTGATATTTTCACAGTGTTCAATCTTCCTGTCCACGAACACGGTATGTTCTTCCATTTATGTAGATCTCTTACGGTTTCTTGAGTAGTATGTTGTAGAATTATTTGTACAGATCTTTTGTGTCCCTGGTAAGATTTATTCCCAAGTATTTTATGTTTTTTGGTAGCTGTTATAAATGATATTGATTTCTGTATTTCTTTTTCAGCAATCTCTGCTGGTGTAGAGGAATCCAAGTGATTTTTGTATGTTGATCTTGTGTCCTGCCACTATGCTAAATCTCTCAATTAGTTCCAGTAATTTTTTTTTTTTTTTTTTTTTACTGAGTCTCTTGGGTTTTCTATTTATAGGATTATATCATCAGCAAATAGGGATCGTCTGATTTCGTCCTTACCAATCTTGATGCCTCTGATTTCCCTTTTTTTTTTTTTTAATCGCTTGGGTTTTCTATT